AGAAACTGTAGCTAATCAGCAAGCAGCTGGGTCGTCCAATGAGAAAGATCGCCTCTCGCAGGCTGCCTGGATAGTTCATTGCAGTCTCAGCACGATTTTTGCAATTGCTTAGGTTTTAGGTTTTTAGTCTCTCTTTTCTGAAATGGAGACATCTCCGGAACCAACCAGAAACGTGCAGTTACTACAGAGGGGCCTTCGTTCCAAAGCCTTTTGGCCACTGAAGAGTGGCGGCAAGGAAATCTTACCATTCCGAAAAATAAGCGTTGTCGTGGTTGAGGCACACAGTGATGTAAACCGTCGTCTTCATCATTTTTGAATACGCAGGCCCTCACTCACATATACCGAGCTATCGGTTCAAAAAAGGTTCCCTTCATGGGACTGAAGTTGTTGCACTTTGATTCCCACCCGGATTTGTGCATTCCACCCGTTTTATCGTCAGTTGTAAAGTCCGATCCTATTGAATTGCTGGAGTTTGTTGCTTTTGCTGTTAATTTATATTTTTACAGGAAAGTTGAGATTCAGAGCTGGATAATGCCAAGTGTGTTCGCTGGCCACATTGACCACGTAGTTTGGCTGCATCCCGAGTGGTCTAAGCAGTTAACTAACAGACGATCAGCCACATATTCCATTGGTACTCCACGCGATACCCAGCTATTAAGGTATTTTTCTTTCCCTATGTTTTACGTACTTTTTTATTTTGACACAATTTTTAATCGTGGATCAAACATCTCCTTTCAACCTTTTCGCCAGTTCTGGGCTACGATATACGGAGCGGTTAATTTATGGTGTAAAATATTCTAAAACGGATTCAGTAGTGTACTGGAATTTTCTTCTCCACGTTTTCAGTAATCGTGTTATAATTGCCTACCAGGTTATGTTTGTTTATTACTTATGACGACGGAGGCGCCCCTAGTTATTCGTCGCTTTGGCTAGTTGTTGAACTTTAAAAACGGATACATATATATATGTATGTATGTCATTCTTAATATTTCCGACTGAAACCGACTAGCTATCGAGCTCGTGGCGTAGTGCGTCAGAGCGTTTGTCTTCTAATCGATGGGTCGTGGGTTCGAGCCTCAGGTACCTCAACATCTGATGTTGGGTATGGTTGACCTATAACGGCTAATAATCTAGAAGTGACCGTTCCATTATCCCGTGTTTTTGTCGGTTATACCATTCTGCACACATATACTTTAGTACAATACAAGATGCAGGAAACCTCTGAAGTGATCAAGATCACACTTTTATCTCCGCCGTGGCCAGCGCTAAATGTCAGAGAGAATTTCTGGCGGCTTGGTATTCCAATATGAGCAGTATTTACCACAATGTTGACCTAGACGCTCATTCCAAGGGCCTGCGACCACGATTAATGCCCCAATAAAAGATAACTTATTCAATTGATAAGGTCTGGCGAGGTGTTGATATGGTTTGAACTGTCTTGTTTGGCCGCGGATTTTTATCGAAGGGCATGTGGTGAGATAGGCCTATGTTGTGACCGAATAACGGTAGGCGGTATGGACAGTTAAGGCAAGTGCAACGGGTGTTTTTTTAGTGTCTCTTGCACTGGTTCACCGGTCTCAGTCTAGTGGCTTCACACGTGAGTGATCTGGCCTATGAGTGATATAGTTGTGTGACAGTATGAGCAGGATAGGTCGGTAAATGCTGTGTTGGTGGTCCTATTGGTGACGCTGATAGTACAGGCAGCTACTAATGACCTGTCAAACGACTTGATCCAAAACGTTCTCAGGCAACTAAAAAACTGCCATCCACAAAAGAGGCCTACTGTCTGCAGCAGTAAAATTGGCACCATTGCCATTGTTGCTAGCATTGCTGGAGTTTTATTTTTCATTTTACGGTTCTTCTTACTACTGATACTGTTGACGTATAATTAGTACTGAAAGCAGTTGCCATTTTCATTTTTGGTGATCACAATAAGTATGAACTGTTTAAATGGTGTTTACCGCGAGAACAATCTCTTTGAAGTAAAAATTGATCCACTCATCCACGAAATATCGACCTGTTTATCTGATTTGCCCTTTTTATCGAATAACGTATCCTGCATCTCAGAGTTTTTCCGTTTGTTGAATTGATGTTTTATTATTACTTGCGAACAGCGTTAACATACCAGAGGACTACTTTGTGGATGAGGGATCTTTTTGGCCAGCTGAGGAGATGGACTCTCCTATTCCATTTGGCTTAACGGTTGCAACCATACACGAGGCAAACACACTATGCAAGGTCTGCGTTGACATAATCAGCGTCCTCCTCAATCACGCGTTTATTCTGGATGTCGATCTGGACACCTTCTCCACATGCGACCCATTCCGAAATTTTTACAGTGAACAGCAGGTATTCTTGATGCCCTTTCTTGCATAATATTCTTTACTAGTGATCCAGTAATCGGTTAGCAAGCAGTGACGTAACGCGTTTTTTACGCCTACCTTTATTTTGTAATACGTATGTTTTCTTTGCCTCAAACTAGACTGTGTTACTTTAAAGGCACATACTATTTGACTTTTCATACAGAACCTTCTGCATTTCTTTCTTCTAGTTCGCTTTGATAGATAAATTATTCACCCCACCCCAAATGCCTGTTCTATCGGGCGTTGATGCCACAACCGATCCCGAAGTGGTGTTCGCCGCCGCTACCCTCGCGGCAAAAGTCACCACCGTGGCAAGGAAAGCTCAGCTCAATCAACTCAAGGACTGGATGCTTATCCTAAGCTCTGGGGTTTCGCTCCCGTCCTCAGAAATTGCAGAAAACCCGTTTGAAGTGTTCACCTTGTGTTCATTACTGCGCAGCCTGGGTGATAAGGAATTCACTCCGGTAACGTGGGCTGCTATTGAATCCACTTTCTTGGCTGCTTCGATGAGGGTGCCTGAGGCCTCGCAGCCTGTTCCAGTTGTCCGGCTTGAAGATGGTACGCTATTTAGGACAACTTAATACTTTTGTCTTTCGAAGAAATTTTATATCCAACATGAATTAACCAAGTTCTGTTTAGAATCCAAGAAAGATCTCATCTTTCCGTTGTACATTATATGGCGATGGAAATTCCCTTCTGCGCCATTTGCTGCATTTTTACATTCATACTATAGCAAGTAAATCCTCAACGCACATTACCACGGCTTAGCAGGAGTTTTTCGTTTTTTTCGACAATTATATCGGTGATCGTATTAAGTCGAAATGGTGGCTTCGAATATTAAGTGACCGATTTACTTCAGAAGCGGCTTTGTGATACTTCTAGCAGATGCATTAGCCAAAATGCGACTATTTCACCTATGTGTGGCTAAATTGGCTGATCTTTGAAACTTTCTAGTTCTGCTAATTTGAGTTATGCTGGATGGTACTTGAGGACGCCGGGAGACTTACAGACAAAAAACCAAGCAGGTACCTGTATTAAGAATACAATAAATCCATGTTCTGTGTGCGAAATGCTATGCTCTATGCTCTCTGGTGCTTTCTTGCATGTGTGATCCGAGCTCTCCACCTGGTGTGTGCAATGCATAGGCAGGGTTTTTAATCTTGTCAACCACTTGTGCTCTACCGACGCATCAGATGGCGGGCCGGTTCGACAGTTCCCTGGGGAGACGAGTGGAAAATATAA